CAGGATCAGGAAACGGTCCTCCATAAAATGTGCTGCACACATCTGTATATTTGGGTTGAAGTGTTCTGGAACAGTGTTGTAAATACAACTTAACCACTGATTTCTAGTCGTGTCCATTTTTGGAAGGCCAAACAAAGTAGTTTTGCTTTCACAACGAAACAGCGTCACACACGGCGGCCTACAGTGAGCAGAGCGTGAGGAACGGCCGGAGGGTTAGAGTGAGCAGAGGCAGGTGGGCTTGAGAATGGTGCGGCCGGCGATTTCGACGAAGGAGCGTCCGAAAGGACATGTGACGACTCCGGGCTGGACTCCGCTTCGTCCACGGTGAAAGCCGATCCGGCGATCCACAGCGCATAGTTGTAGTATTTCCTCAGCAACCAGCACGGATCAGCTCCAGGCATGACGAAGCAGATATCGTCCTCTTTTGGAAGACCAAACAAAGTAGTTTCGCTTTCACAAACGAAACACACAGCGTCTTTACGACATGGTGGCGGAAACAACAATACTACAGCGAGAATAAAAGTTACGCCTTCTCTCTTTGCATGAACATTTGGGCGGCGTTATGCAAATCTTCCCACATAGCGACGTAGATATGTGGGGGCGTGTTAGAGAGCCTTTTAGGTAGGTGTGGCTGACTCTTAACTTTTATAAAGAATATCTCTTTGAATTTGAGACTTTAGTCTTTGCAACTTTACAGATCTTCTTTATGCAGAAGAAGAGCTTGTAACACTCCAAAGAGAAAGGAAACATTGAAATCGCATCATATGACCCCTTTAAGCCACATAACTTACCTTCTATGTAGATATCAGACAACAATTTAAAATATTGTATCAATGCATTCTATGGCACCTTTAATAAAACACAATCTAATAGGTAGAAAATTCAATTTACTGTTAGCTTACGGTTTTAGAGGATACGATGTAAATCAGCTTCCATGTGTTTAGCCCACTGAGATCAGTGGTTTAGCCACGTGTCATCGCGTGCCTACTGGCCTCGTCACAACATTGCTCCGCCTGCATTACGCGTTTCTATAGCAACATCTAACGAAAGACTTGCGTGAGTACAAACATGCAGAGAATGTCGGCAATGAACAGGAAATTAATCCAAAACCTCGCCGAAACTTTATGCAAGCAGGTCAAACATTGTAGGTATCTACTAATGTGTTTTTTCCTTCTAAAATGTCAGTTAATATTATTATCATAAAACGTTTGCTAGCAGATATTAGTTCATTACCCGACTGTGTCCTGCATTAAAAATCAGAAGAAAATGCCTTGTTTAGTGACTGTTCAGTCATTTGTCAATACTGTGGTCATGCTGTAGTTAATAAAACAGAGACGGAGTGTCTAATAAGGCTGTTCAACGGTCTGCTGGGAGAGCAGGCAGAGAGAAGAGCGGCTCATGGACTGGACCGGGTCAGGTTTAGAAATATACTGCACAACACATTCGGCATGACCGACGATATGATGATGGACAGCGGTAAGTTTCTGATTTGGATGAGGACGATTATAAACCTAGTAGTCTGGTCTGAGTATTGAACTGTAGAGACAACCACTAAAATAATCGAAATTGCATACTTAAGTGGACAGTACAGTATATAGAGAAGTGTGTTAAATTCAAATACATACACATATAAACATATTTATATGATATGTAGATTTATATGAAGTTTGCAGAGTAATAAATATGATGATATAGTAAATGACTAATCAATATTTGCAGTAGGTTTCTAATTTATCAAATAATATTCTAATAAACTGATTATTCTTTTTATTAGTCTCAGGAGAATATTCACTACTTAATTTTTGTATTGACAGTTTTTCGTTCCTTTGACAAGGACAATGACACCTACATAAGCGTCAAAGAATGGGTGGAAGGTTTGTCTGTCTTTTTGCGAGGCACACTGGATGAAAAAATTAAATGTGAGTTCTTTATGTGTCAATTTAATGTGGTGATCATAAATATTATGTACATAATATATATATATATATATATATATATATATATAGTCTGTTTTGATGTATACAACCTGCATGGTGACGGATACATCTCACGGGAGGAGATGTTACAAATGCTGAAAGACAGCCTCATCAGACAACCCACTGAAGAGGATCCCGATGAGGGCATTAAGGACATTGTGGAGATAGCCTTGAAGAAAATGGTACTGCTATTTGTCATAAAGCTTACATGTAATATTTTACCATTGTTAAGTATAAAATACATAAGTATTTTTTTTTTCAGGATTATGACCATGACGGGAAAGTTTCTTATTCTGATTTTGAGAAGACAGTCAAAGATGAAAACCTTTTACTAGAAGCTTTTGGCAACTGCCTCCCAGATGCAAAGGTAGAAATCACAAGCAACTATATAACAATTTATTGTAATTTTAAAGGACAAGCTCTCAAATTGTTTTTTCATTTGTTTGGCAGAGCACACTGGCATTTGAGCAACATGCATTCCAGGAGCTACATGGACATTGAAAAGAATCACTTAATTTTTTTATGGAAAAAAAAAGATAGTTAAACAATATTTGTGGGTGAAACTGAAATAAATATCTAAAATATCGTTCAATGTGAGACCATGATTGTCTTATTAAATTCTTCTGCGTGGCTTTGCAGTAGGGGTCTTCACTTGTACAGGTTTGACCTGTGGAACAGATGCAACCTAAGAAAAAAAAAAGAAAAGAAGAAAAGAAACAACATATCACAATATACCATAATGAAATATACATATATTTAAATGTTTTATTTTTCAGTTTTAGTTATTTTAGTACATTAAATTAAACTAAATGTTGCCTTGGCAACTAGGTGAAAAAAAGTTTTTTTATATATATATTTTATTTCAGTTAATATTTATTTCATTTCAAGTAACGAAAATGTTTATATATATATATATATATATATATATATATATATATATAC